CTCCATTGACTCAGCGTTTTGTGCATCCTGATGTATCACCCTCGTCTACAGCTACACTTAGTGCTATACCACATGATACGAGGTCTGCTCTAGCTCCTGGCCAGAAGGATAGACTTGGTAGAGTCATGATTGAGCCAGATGGATCATCGTAAGTTTGTTTTGCTTTCTATTTGTTAGTTTATTTTATTTATTTCTTATACTTTAATATATTATTCATGAACTAACATATTTATTATGTGTTTTGCAGGTGGCATCCTGTAAAGGATGTTGCCCAGGCTTTAAAAGACTGTGTTAGAAGACTGTATAAACCGACTTATCACTCTTGGAGCGAGATTCCAAACAGTATACGCCAGGAGATGTTTAATAACTTTAAGGTATATATTTTTTAGTTAAGTTTAGTATCTTTACTTTTTTTTACTATCGATCTAATTAACGTTATTCAATCTTTTATTCAGACTATGTGTACTTAGGAGTCGAGGTACAATTTGGTCATTGGGACCACATTTGAGAGGAAGGCATCTGCCAGACTGTCTAGCTGGTTAAAGAAAGTTCAGGATAATGGTAAACGTCTTGGTTGGATGTTGCCTCATGTTTTTGATGAATTGGGTAAGTATTGGATCACAGACAAGTGTAAGGCAATATCAGGTCAAGCCAAAAAGGCTAGAGGCAGTCTTAAAGGTGGCTCGTTGCACACCGGAGGTGCAAAAGATGTTTGAACAATTGCACAAAAGATGGTACGTTCTAATGCAAAGTTTTAAGTAAATAATTAGGTGATTCATATATATCATTATAAATTTCAGTTTTTATTTATAGGAAAAAGAATTGGGACGCACTCCCATTGAACCAGAGGTTTTCAAGAAGACTTGTGTCAGGAAGAAAGAAAATGAGTCGGATCCAGATGTGTGGGTGGACGAAAAGGTCGAACGAAATTTTGTAAGTTATTTAATATGAATAATATATATTAATACTGAATATATTTATGATATGTATATATATTGATGTCAATTTTTATATTTAATATGCAGAATGACTTTCATCAGTATGTCGTTGAGAATCTAGATAGTTCGGTCCAATTGACACCTGAACTGTCCACCCAGATTTGGAAAGAAAAAGTGGTACGGGGGACACACAAGGGTAGATGCTATGTTCTAGGCTCTCGAAATGATGTTAGACGACTCCAGTTAGGCTTAGAAGGTATTGGATCATCACGTCAAGCCGAGGCACTTGACGGTGTTCAGATTGCTGCTATGTCGGATCAAATAGCTAAACTTACAGTGACACTAGCATAGTCGGAGCGGAGAAAAGTAGCTAAACAAGAAAGCATGAGTGAGACCGTTCAGTAAATCAAAGAACAAGTGATGAACCTCGCTCGTCGACCTACTACTTCGACTCCCGATGACACCAACGACGAGAGTGATAAGGATGATTATGTAGATCTCACTCCCTGGTTTAGATCTCTGGACATTTATGAATTTTTTTAAATTTTGAAACGAAATTTGAAAGACTTTATAAGTCTTTAATTTAGATACTTTTGAATGTTATTTAATGTTTATTATTTTATGTTCTGTTTAGATTGTTTATAATTGTGAGTGTTTGATTGGGCTGAATAGTATAGAATTGAATCCAATTGCATTTGCAGGTGGGCAGCAGAAACTGCCAGCTGTTGCTATCAAAAATATTGCAAAAAAGTGACGGACAGCGTGGTTTAGTCCGTCGCTTTTCTGGGTTTTTATTTTTTTTAAATCCCAGAAAAACGACGGATAGCGTGGTTTTGTCTGTCACTTTTTTGGGTTTTAATTTTTTTTTAAAACCCAGAAAAGTGACGGATAGCGTGGTTTAGTCCGTCACTTTTCAGGGATTTTTTTAAAAAAAATTCCAGAAAAGGGACGGACTGCGTCGCCTTTTAGAAATAAAGAAAAATTAAAATTAAAATAAAGCGATGGAGTCCGTAGCTTTTGTTAAAAAAAAAAAAAGTAACAAAGCGACGTTGTCCATCGCTTTTTAGTGACGCAGTCCGCCGCTTTTTGAAAAGCGTCGGGTTAAAAAGCAATGGAGGTGACTACGTCACTTTTTCATCGATTTTGACCAAAAAAGTGACGCAGTCCGTCGCTTTTTGATAATTTTTTAGTAGTGTAATAAGAACTCTCTCTTTTGACTAACTTTTATCCAATCTATATTTTCTTGTATGCATCAAACCAAATGAAAACACCACTATTTATAGTTGATAAAGTCTTCCTAGCAATGAATAGGAAGATAATGGGGTAGTAAATAGTGAAGATAAATGGCCTAGGAGCAGTGGCGGAGCCAGAATTTTCAATAAGGGGGTTCAAAATTTGTAGAAATAGACACACGAAATAGCCAAAAGGGGTTTGACATCTACTATATATACATAAAAAATTATTTCAACCATATAAAATTAAATAATATAATTTTCTACCGGATGGGGTTCGACGAATCCCCTTAGTACAAGGTGGCTCCGCCCCTGCCTAGGAATTACATATGTTACAAGGTATAATGGAGGAATAAAGGATGAGATAATGGAGAAATAATATGGAGAAGTAATGACCAACATGCCACTACCGATGCTGCAAGAAAAGGGTCATTACATCAGCACTTACTCCAAATGGTGTAATGCTCCAAATAAATGTCCAACGGTTAAGACAAAAGAATTATCACCAACCGACAACTTACAGCAAAGACAACACCTTGACTCCAAAGTTTTAAACAAATTAATATACAAAAATATTATTATTAAAATGCTGACCAACACAAAGAAGATTTGGAGCTCCTCTATTGGTATAAAGAAGGATACAATTTATGTATTTACATTGACCGATAGTGTTATTTAACCAAAGGGTGTGGCCTAATGGTTAATGAAGTGGGTAGATACCTTGGAGACCAAGGGTCAAATTCCAAGGTGGAAAAAGCTAGGTGATCTCTTCCAATCTTCCTATGCCTTGGTGTGCTAAGTTATCCGGTGCCTATGTAAGCGGGAGGTAGCAGATATCCCTGGAATAGTCAACTGGGAGCAAGCTAGTTCAAAATTATTGTTTTAGAAAAAAAGAATTGTTATTATTATCAAGGTAAACTGATACTCGTAAGAAGGTTAATCTATGTAGCAATCCCTGGAATAGATATGCTAGCTCTGTTTGTCCCTGTAGTTTAGCGGGCTGAATTTTATTCGGGCCGCAATATGTCAGGGCCTCTAGGCCCTACTAAATAATATTGAAATTCTTTGGTGTTCAAGCCATCAAACTGATTATTTGACCTTTTTTCTATTGAAGATCATTTCTCTAGAGTTTTTCCACTTAGTTATGTAGGCTTGTTTAATTTGCACTTTGACACTGCTCAAAGTCATACTTCGTATTTCTGATTATCTTTTTGCCTTTAAAACACCTTGAAAGGTTTATCTGGAATAGATATAGCTCATAAGTTATGAGTCATAACCTAAAAGACGTTCTGTTGTTGAACTCGAATCTGGTTGTTCTCTCTTTTGCCACTTTTGCTTTCTGTGCCATAAGTAGGTGTTGGACTTCTCCATGACATGTTTTTTCATCAGTCTCAACTCCTTTGTGTATCCCACTTTGCAATATTTTAACAAGTTACCACCATATTTTAAGAGGTTTTGTTCAAATTCATATAACTTCGTGTATTGATCAGGAACAATCAAATGTTACTTTAGAGTTTTAGAAAGGTAAACAATTAATAAGCTAACAATTTTTTTTAATTAATTAGAACAATGAAAGAAATTAGCGTAACTAGTGAAAACTAGAAGTACGAAAATGCTACTTATCATGGAACCACGATCAGGCTGAGTTATGAATTTTTATATTGTATGAAATTAATATACAATGATAAATGTATTTACAGTAACATATATATAGTTATTTATGTATTTCTTAATACATATACGACACCTAGGCTAGTAGTTTCTATGAATCCATACATTATATATAGTAAGATTACTACATTCAATATGTGATGTGTGTCAAAAATATTGAACTTAGTTGGACGCATCAATTATAAGCTGCCTACGGTGTACCTACTTATATCCACCATATTTTACCTCCCAAAATATTTCAATCACTAGAAATAGTTTTACGTGTTTTTTTTTAATTTAAAAAAAGAAGTATTTTTCTCTAATATATAAGATATTGGTCGGGTAAAAGATAATGACTCTTTTTTAATTTAGTTTTATTGTAGGATTCATATTAATTAATATACATATGTTGTTAACTAATATGATGAAAAAATAATTGATTTACAATTTTTTCAAATTAATATATTTCAATTGAATTGATCATAAAAATTAAAAGTATGAAGATTCTACGAACATTGTGAAATGCATGTTTGATAAAAAACGATAAATATATAAATAAAATGTCTTAAATTATTAAAATATTAGACAAAATGATAATTTATCAAGTCTAATTAAAAAATGACTTACAATGTATATTACTAAAACAAATGGAACTGACAATATAACATAACTTATAAATTTAAAATAAAAAAATTAACATAATACTCTTATCGCAAATTTCAACATAGCATACATAAATATGATTTATTAATTCTAAAGCTTGAAAGAAACTCTAAAGTAATCACCTTCTATTTTGACATTTGGAAGATTTAGTTGGTGTTACCGAGTTATTACGTAGACACCAAAATGAAGATTTGGTAAAAACTAAAAAGTGAATACTTATTCTCTCTTCAAATAAATAAAATCAGTTAATTCTTATGAGATTGCCAGCATAACCTATTTGCTTGTGACAGGTTCAAACTACAATGTAATTTAGGTCATCTACATTTGACTTTTGAAGTATCCTACCAGACAATAAGCTAATTAGTTTAATGAGTAATTCAACTACTCAGGTCCCTGTCTAACAAACAAAATCCTACAAGTCCTTGTTGCATGCATTCTTAAAAACCTATATAAACCCAATCCCACATCCACTCTTATATATACACATTATTCTTTAATCTTCTAAGATTGCAGATAAATGGCTCAGCGTTATTACTTATCTTCTCTTTTACTACTTGCATTTCTCAATTTATTCTTCATTTATTGCAACATAACTGGAGCAACTGCACGACACCTTCTAGAGACGCCCCTCCCTGAGATACCTAAACCAGAACTCCCCAAAGTGCCAGCGTTGCCAAAGCCTGAAATCCCAACTATGCCAAAACCTGCTGAGCTTCCAACCATATCAAAGCCTGAGATCCCCGCTGTTCCAAAGCCTGAGCTACCAACTTTCCCGAAGCCCCAGTTACCAACTTTGCCAAAGCCTAATATGCCTGAGATTCCCACAATGCCAAAACTAGAGTTTCCTCCCTTGAAAAAGTCAGAAATCCCAGCAGTTCCAAAGACTGAGGTTCCTCCGGCTATGAAAAAGCCTGATGTTCCAACTTTACCAAAGCCCGAGCTACCGAGTGTGCCAAAGCCAGAAATTCCAGAAGTACCAAAGCCAAATGCCCCCGAGCTTCCAAAGCTAAAAGTCCCAACAATGCCAAAGCCTGAAAAACCAACTATGCTGAAGCCTGAAATCCCAGATCTACCAAAGCCAAAAGTCCCAGAGCTTCCAAAGATAAAAGTCCCAACAATGCCAAAGCCTGAAGTAACAACTATGCCAAAGCCAGAAATCCCAGAATTACCAAGGCCAAAAGTCCCAGAACTTTCGAAGCCAGAAGTACCAACTATCCCAAAGCCTGAAATCTCAGAACTACCAAAGCCAAAAGTCCCAGAACTTCCGAAGCTAGAAGTACCAACTATCCCAAAGCCTGAAATTCCAGAACTACCAAAGCCAAAAGTCCCAGAACTTCCAAAGCTAAAAGTTCCAACAATGCCAAAGCCTGAAATCCCAGAACTGCCTAAACCAACTCTTCCTTCACTTTCTCCACCATACAAATCCGCTACTCCTTAAGTATATTATATGCTACTTTCACTCTATAAGAAAGTAGCCAACTGATGTTTTGAGATTTCCATCTCAGTCTATGAAATTTTCCACTTAAGTTGTGTCATGGAGATAGCATTGGATACTTTCTGCTAGGAGTAGAAATTTTAATTCTTTTAAGTAGTTTTTGAATTGGATGTACCGAGTTTGTCGTGTTATTATGATATATGAGTATTTTATGTATTTCTATATAGACAGTATAATAAAGCTTTGATATATGTAACTTTTGGTTTAGTTCCTATCCTTGACCGTCTCTGTTTGTCCATTCTTTCCCTCACAATTTTTCCTTCCTAATTTATAGTAGCCAATTTCTTCCATTACATTTCAAGAGTATGGAATAAAGGATGAATTAGTATATTTAAGTGGCACAAAAACGGGGTGGAGCTAACATTTTTAGTGTAGAACCAAACTGGTGATTTAACTAATGTGTTTTTTGTTTCATTCATCCTAATGCACATTAAATGGATTTAATTTCCTCTGCTTCACCTTCTCCAAAAGAATGATAAGGACAATTTATGCTTCATGCATGATCAGTTAGCTGGTGCAACTACACGAGCCGCTTTCTATAGACGTCATTCCCTGAGATCCCTACACCAGAATCCCCGAATATTCCAGCCTTACCAAAGCCTGAAATACCAATACCTTAAGTATTAACTGTACCAAACCTAAGATTTCAGCGTTCCAATGCTATATGTATCCGTGGCGTAAGCAAAAAAATTTGTAAGTGTATCCATATTTGAAGGAACAAATACTATAGCGACATTTAAAAATATTAGTTTATTACTATAAGTTTCGTCAGCGAGTTCTCATTTTTTAAAATGTATTCATAACAGTATACATATTTTTTAGTCATAATAATCTCGTTAGAAATAGTCGTATAAGGTAAAAACACCAAACAACCACTTAAGAACTCTTTATTCATTTGATTTCACAGATCAATCTTAATCAACTTCATCACCGAAAAAGCAATACGCCAAGTCTCAAGTAATTGGAGCGAGTAGTTTTCAAAATTAGGATTTTATATGTACTGAAATCATTGAATTCCCAGTAGTGTTTATAGTTATTTATTGTTCTTTTCATACACAAAAGTTGATGTCTTCAAGCAGTAAAACTCAAAAAATTTAAAATGAAAGATAGCAATACTGAGTAACTGTCAAAGATTGCAGTAATGATTTTAATTTTTTAAAAAAAAAAAAAACTGCAGCAACAAGAATGTTGAAAATATTGTTTAAACTTCTTCTCCACAGGTAGTTGGACAAAATCTTCATTATCATCAATTTTGTTGCAAATTGATTTGAAACCGCTCGAAATACCAACTACACCAAGGCTTGAAATCCCAGAACTACTAAAGCAGAAGTATCAACTATGCCAAACCTGAAATCCTAGAACAGCCAAAGTCAAAAGTCCCTGAACTTCCAAAGAAGAAGTACCAACTATGTCAAAGCTTGAAGTCCCAGAACTACCAAAGACAAAAGCCCCAAAGCTTCCAAAGCTAAAAGTCCCAACTATGCCAAAGCCTGAAATCCCAGAACTACCAAAGCCAAAAGTCCCAAAACTTCCACAACCAGAAGTACCAACTATGTCAAAGCTTGAAGTCCCAGAACTACCAAAGCCAAAAGCCCCAGAGCTTCCAAAGCTAAAAGTCCCAACTATGCGAAAGCCTGAAATCCCAGAACTACCAAAGCCAAAAGTCCAGGAACTTCCAAAGCCAGAATTACCAACTATGCCAAAGATAGAAATCCTAGAACTACCAAAGCCAAAAGTCCCCGAGCTTCCAAAGCTAAAAGTCTCAACTGTTCCAAAATCTGAAATTCCAGAACTACCAAAGCCAAAAGTCCCTGAACATCCAAAGCTAGAAGTGTAGATATATGGAACAAAGAATGAATTGGCATATTTAAGTGTAGAACTAAATTGATGATTTAGCTATTTTTACTTTTTGTTTCGTTTATCCTAATGCATATTAAATGGATTCAGTTACCTCTATTTCGCCTGCTCTAAAAGAAAGATGAGAATAACCAATGCTTCATGCTTAAATGTAACATTATTTTTTTAGGTAAAAAACAATAATCAACCACCCAAAAACTCATCATTAATTCAATTTCACAAATTGATCTTAATCAACTTCATAGCCGAGAACGCAATAGCCAAGTCCCAAGTAATTGCAGCCAATGATTTCCAAAGCTTGGGTTTTACATGTGCTGATCAAATATTTGACTTCGAGTAGCGTTTACTGTTATTTAGTGTCCCTTTGTACACCAAAAGTTGTTGTGGCTAATTGATTTAGTATAATTTTTCCTTACAAAAGGTAGAAAGTCATATCGATTCTACCAGGCATCACTTTTTTTTATCAAACAATAAAACTCTAAATTTTTAAAATGAAAGATGGCAGTTACCGAGTAACCGTGCTAACTTTGCTAGCAAAGTTAGGTGCTTTGCCAGTGAACCAACAGGCTATGGGAAGTGACTTCATTTGTTTTTTTTTTTTATAATTGAAATATTTTATTTTACATATATGTATTTAATAAAATTTTGGATGCCCTTCATCCTACCTAAATCCGCCCCTGTATGCAATGCAACAGTCCTTTTATATGAATCTGACATACTATTCTTTCAGTATTGACTTCTTCTTTTTCATTTCTTGGAGAATTGTATTGACATTTGTGGTATATTGTGAATCCAGGACTTCTCTCTTCTCAAGAAAATGAAATATAAGCTACTATATCCGGTCCAAACCTGTATTACCAACTTTGCCAAAGCTTGAGATCCCAACTGTCCCAAAACCAGAGCTTCCTGCTATATGCCAAAGTTTGAGATTCCAGCAATGCCAAAATACCCGAGCTTCCTCCCTTGAAAAATCTAGAAATCCCACAACTACCAAAGCCAAAAGTTCCAAAGATTCCAAAGCCTGAACCAACTTTTCCTTCACTTTCTCCACCATTCTACTGCTTGAGCAAATTATATGCTACTCACTCTATTAGTAAGTACTCAACCGATGTTTAAAGATTTCCATCTCAGTACATCTATCAAGTTTACGAGATGAGCTATGAGTTTGGCAAAACTTATTGGATACTTTCTGCTAGGAGTAGAAATTGTAGTTCTTTTATACTATATGAGTGAGTGTTTTACTCTGGCTTAGTTCCAATATATCATTGACCGGCCATGATCTCTATTTCTGCTCAATCCTTGTTTGTCGACTGAACCATTTTTTCCATCACATTTCGGAAAAGGCTCTATTTGGTTTCATCATGTAAAGGAAATTGGAAGTGCCTATGAAGAATTTATGTTTTATCGGTTCAATTTTTAAAATTTTTAACATTTAAATTATTCTATTTGTAAATTAAAAGTATGGATTCTAGCGTATTATTTATTTTGCTTTTTGTGATACTTTTACACATAAACTCCGCTCCAAAATTACTAGGTTCATATGAATCTAGTTTTTCGTGCTGCATTTTCCCCTTCTTGCTTTGTCACCCGGAAACTCATGATTCGTGTCACCAAAGGTGACTCCATTCCCGAAGCTCAAAGTTAAGACGTCTAATTAAGGATTAATAAATATTTATTCTTTGCACATCTCTACCACAACGATTGATGATATCTTAGTAGTAGCTACTCTTTCTGTCACTATTGTTCCATAAAAAGCCTAATTTTGTCTACAATCGATATAAGTATAGTTTATATGTTTGAAGTTATATTAGACTTTTTATTTCTTTAACTATGACGTGTCAAATGTTATCGTATTTTACTAAAAATATTACGTATTATTTTGTAGATTATTGATCACAACTTTTAAGTATTCATATAATGTAATGTTTTCTCCATCAAATTAAATTATCAACAATTATTTTAATGTTCTTAATAATCATCATATATTATATATCATATATATATATATATATATATATATATATAAAAGAGAACCCTAGGTCCGCCTACGTGGCGCCACCACAAACAAGAATTCCCTTTTAATTTATTTATTTCCAAAACTAGCCTTCCCTTTTCATGAAAAGTTGTGACTTTTATGAGAAGTTGTAACTTTTATGAAAAGTTTTGACTTTGATGAAGAGTTGAGACTTCTCTATCAAAAGTTGTAACTTTTCTGAAAAGTTGTGACTTTTATGAAGAGTTGCGATTTTTATGAAAAATTGTAAATTTTATGAAAGGTTGTGACCTTTTCGAAGGGTTGTACCTTTTCCAAAGAGTTGTGACCTTTCCGATTAGGTACAATAAGCATTTATTCACACTACCCTTTGTTGTCTATAAATAGAGGGATTTCTTGCCACTATTTTTTGTAGGTTTTTTTCCATTGTAGGGTAGTGGAATTCAAATACATTAATTAAGTTTCTTATGAAGTTTGTTTCATTCGTCAAAGTTTTCTTCCTCCTATTTCATGGAGCTTAATCTTTACTATAAGTCATAGTGATTCATGTAATTATGACAATTATTTTTGCTATTTTGGTGACTTTTTTTTAACTCTGTTAAAAGTTTCAGTAAAGATGATTGCAAATTGGTCTTCTCTTTTGTCCCTTTCAACATGTTTCTTCGTATAAGCAAAGAAAATTGATTTTGAATTGAAGGCGACATTACTATTCTTGCACCTCTCATTCCACAACTCATAACGGTGTTGAAATGGTTGAATTCATTACATTAGTTCTTTAGTAAACAAATCTTTTATTTCTGCCACTATTATTTGTAGGTATTTTTTTGCTATAGGGGAGTCGAATTCAAATACATTAATTAAACTTCTTATGAAGTGTGTTTCATTCCTCATATTTCATGAAGCTTTATCTTTTACCGTAAGTCATAGTGATTCATGTATCTATTGCAATTTCTATTTGCTATTTTGATGACTTTTTTTTTAACTCTGTTAAAAATTCCAGTGAGGATGATTGAAAATTTATCTTCTCTTTTGTCCCTTTCTACAGGTTTTTCATATACTTTTTGGGAAAATTGCTTGTGGGTTGTGCTATATT